ATCAGTAGTTTTCAAGCCGCTAGCATTCTAATTAGGAAAGCTGATGTTTCCTTAATTAGAAAGGCTCTGCTTAACATTTTATTTGACACTGTTAAATATTGGTAAGTGATGATCACTTTATTCAGAGCCTGTTAAACAAAGAGATGGTACTAAGTCACGTTCGATAGAGGCAGCTCTCATGACACAGAAGCATTTCCTGGTGTCAGAAATCCCAGGAAGGTTAGGGCCTTGGGAAGCTCAGCACAAAAGCCCCACACTCATGCTGTCTAAGGCAGCCTTGTAGTGGTCATAGATGATGTTAAAGAAATAATTAGTCAATGACACCTGTTAGAGCACAGCAAGGAAGATTTTATTCAGGACCATCGCAGTAGGTATAGACCAGGGCAATGGGGTCTTGCAGAGGGGAAGAGAGACTGGGCTCAGCTCTGAACACAGGTGAGCATGTGGGGATTTATAGCCAAGGAGCACGGTGGGGGCAGTGGGTGGAAAATTACTAAGAGGCGACGTGAGCGTGAGGGGGATTCTGGCTAAACTAACCTAACAAGAGTCTTGCTGAAGACAGGTCATGGTGACTAGACATCACCTGGGGGACAACGGAGGCTGAGGAACCTGATCAGATATTGAGGGTGGTGGATTCTTGCTAAACTGACTTAGCAGGTTCTTACTAAAACTGAATTTTACAAGGACATGCACAGATAGGCCTTGGAGAAGGTTCAGGAGCCTGACCAACATTTGGCCAACCAGATAGTCTATGTCCAGCAAGCCTAGGATACATGTGAGGTATCTAGAGATCAGATGACTGTGAGTGAAGAGGTTCTGGGTCATTATGTCACACGTCACATTCTTTGAGGAGCGAAGAGGAGGTTATAAGTTTTAGCTTTTGCATCAGTTGAAGAGTAGAGTCTTCTACAAAATCACCACCTCTCTTCTCAAGCACACTTGCTGCTGACTCATCCACCCTCTGCCAGCCTTTCTAGGGACAATTTTTGCCTTTTTACTAGAATTGCTCATCAAACAAGAGCCTACCCTCATCCCAGTAAGGCTGTCCTTCCCAATCCTCCTCCTCCCTGCTTCAGGGGTTTGTTCTGACTCTGGCTCGGTTATCCTAAAAAGTCCAGCTGAAAGAAAGAGAGAACAATGTTTTTCCATGTCAAATTTCTGCTCCAAATATCTGTAGATCAAAGTAATAGTTTACCAGAGTAGGGTCTCTGCCCCAGGGCTGATAAACACTTGGACATGAAGACAAAACATATTAAACATTTTAATATAAAGACATACTACACAAAAACTTGAAACACATTAAAATTGTATTTTATGCCTGTGTTGGTGCAAATGCCAATATGATCTTCAACTCCCAATGTCTATTTTTTTCTTCTGATTTTAAAGGAAATTAAAACATTTTTGTAGGCTCCTAAAAGGATCTTTGATTGTGTACGCGATGGGTAATCTGACCTTGTCCTGCCCTCTAACCATTGAGGTCAGGGGCTATTTTATTTCTTATAGCCGTCCGCATCTCCCAGCCTCTCTCCTGAGCTAAGAAGGGGCTCCATAAATCTTTGCTAAGTGAAAACTTGCATTCCCCATTGCTTAACCTCATGCCCACAACACAGTCAACACCCTCCAAATTGTTGAATTGAATCTCATGGAAAGCACAGTATCAGAGTACAGCATTTTAATTGCCAAGAAAAATTTTATTTTAACTTTGCATTAATGTGTTCTAAGGAACCTTTACTAGATGCAATCATTTTGAAGGTGGCATCTGCCAGAGATGAGCCAAACACTTTCCCTGCTTTGTTTTTCTCCACTCTTCATTGTGTGTCCTTCAGGGAAATCTGAAAAGTCAGCTTCCTTTCTCGAATCCTTAGTTTTGTAGATATGCAGGTTACAACTTTGCTTTGCCTGCAGCGTTACTGACCTTGTAAAATGATGCCTGTGTATACATTACTAAACTGTTTGCTTAACTTTTAACATCTATGGGATGCCAGAGATATAAGTATTTCTTAAAAAGAATGTAAAGTTTCAAATCCCACTGAGGTTTGAATACAGAACTCCAGAGGTAATATCGATGGGATGCTTTGAAAACAGAGCCATGCCTTACGGCTCTGTAAAAACAAACAAACAAAAAAAGCAATTATGCCTTAAAGATGGTTTTTTAGATCTCTCCTGGAAGAAAGAAGTCAAATTTCCCGTTATATATTCAAAGCAAAACTTTCAGATGGTAAATGGTTTGAAACCATTTATGATCATTATTGCTAATACAGAAACACCTGATTTTCAAGTATGCAAAAATACAATGGTGATCTCAGTTATTTTGAGGCCCTTTTAAGCTCAATTCATTTGCATCTAGAGGTGTACTTTCTCCTTCATTTTCTGTTAACATTTTACAGATTAAATAACTAATTGCATACACAAAAAGGCATTCGTATAATCTATAAAAGCTCTTCAGGTTATTTAATCCTCCAGCACACATTCCCACATCATCAAGGCTTTGCTAAAAGTCCACTTGCATTGAACGTGCTAAACTCTGAGTAAACACTGTCATCACCAAGCACAAGATCATGATAGTGGCATTAAATTGTTGCAGGACAGCATCAACAATCCTCCTAACACAACATCAACATTGTAGTACATTCTTTAACAAGAATGTTTTCTAAAACAATAGTGCTTCTAAACTCAAGTCCGGCTGCCCGCCCCCTTGAGAAGGAAAGAAAAAAAGACTCAGAAGTCCAATGGTTGGTGTTTAGAAAAGCAGATGTATTCAGCTGAAGGAGAGGGTAGGCTCTCCCATCTCAAAGACTTAGATTTACTGAGGAGGTTTAAAAAGGGGTTGAGGGAATAGAATGTGGGAAATGAAAAGCAGAAGGGAATGTGATGTCAGGGGTCCGTGTCTAGGAGTCAGGTGCAAAGTCTCACTAAGTCCTCATCTGGTCTCCGCTCTTGTCTTCACTGTTACCTCAGGGCCCTGCAAGATTTCTATTTGCTCCAGAGTGGAATCAACTTCTCTTTAAAGTCTTTTGTGCAGCTCTGCAGAGCTCTGGCTGACTTGGCTGGTGCACAGGGTCAGCTTCCAGACCTTTGGCCTCGATCACTTCTCAAAACTCTACAAGTCTCAAAGAAAGAACTGTTAGCTTTGCAAAGCACTGATTAGCTCCTCAGCCTTGTTTTTCTATTTAGCAAACAAGATAAGAAACGGGATGAGAAGAAAGAGTGGAGGAAAAAATAAAAACTGCCCTTTTCAAACGGGATGAGAAGAAAGAGTGGAGGAAAAAATAAAAACTGCCCTTTTCAAACGGGATGAGAAGAAAGAGTGGAGGAAAAAATAAAAACTGCCCTTTTCAAACGGGATGAGAAGAAAGAGTGGAGGAAAAAATAAAAACTGCCCTTTTCAAAACCCCCACCCACCCACCCACCACCCAGGTGGTTTTAGTCCCAACACAGCCTCAGTCCTGCTCATTACAACAATCTGACCAATTTCCCACAATGTCTGAAATGAGAAATCCACGTTGAAAGGAAGAATCCTATTTGCTTTCCAGCTTTCAACAATTCCAAGGTGGGGGTGGGAATCACTTTCTTTCCCCACCAGAAAAGGGAAGCAAAAACTAAAGTCTGGAATAGAAAAACTTAAAGAGAAATTGGGGAAATGCTTTTGAATCCTTGTAATTTCTCAAGGGGCGGAGGGAACACAGGAAATTATAGTCAACTTTCAGAAAGCCCAAGACACCATTCATTTTCCCCAAACAGCCCTGTGGGACGCAGGTGTTCTAGTCACCTGTGCTGTCTTGGAACTGAGCAGATGCTGGACCAATGGGGGACGGTCAGACTAATCCCCAGAAGAGGCATGTGGGTGAGCAGGTGGATGGTAGCTTCTCTCAATTTATCCATAAAGGACTCCGATCACGCCGTTGGATAATGTATCATGTCGGAAGAAGTGAGCACAGCTCACCTTCCACAGGTGGAGGAGACTTTCCTCAGGAGGGGCTGGTGCATCAGGCTTTGCAACTATCTCCAGCCACTCTCCTCTGTGAGCCGGTGAGGCACAATCCCTGAATTACCAGGGTGTGGGGGAAGTGGAATTAAAACAAAACTGTGCATCTCTTTGGGGATCAGAGGCACAGGTATTTCTCAGCCACAGGATAAAAGCACACACAAAAAGTACTTAACGTTAATTACCACTCTTTTATCACTACCCTCTGCTCAGAACTATAGATCATCACCCTGATGTGTACAGATCCTGGAATACTTACATTTTTCTCTCCCAAAGAATATCAAAGACTTTCCATGCTGATCATTCTGAATTTTGCTGGAAGAGATTCCCTGAACTGTAGCACCCCCAAAGTGGCCCTTTGGTTCAGAATTTCCATTCCCCAAAGAAACAGTGGAATTCTAACATAATACTATAGAGGAGGGAATGGAAACCAGTTCAGGAGAGATCTCTCTTGGGATCATTGCTACTAAAGGATTTTGCAAAAAAAATTATTGCACAAACAGATCTATTTGTGAGCCTCTATTGTTTTTACTTAATTAGTGTTAAGCCTCCAGGTCCCTACTTTCTTCTTTGTTCTTTTTTGTGTGTGTGTGGCCAGTGGAGGGATCTGAACCCCTGGCCTTAGTGTTATCAGCACCACATTCTAACCAACTGAGCTAACCGAACAGCCTTTTTTAAACATCTTAATTTGCTTGAGGAAAGAAATAAATTGTATATATGTGTGTATGTGTGTGTGTATATATGTGTATATCTATATATAGCGAAATATGTATATTTGTATATGTGTATGCATATATATACGTACACACGAGGGTTCGTCAAAAAGTTTGTGGAAAAATAGAATTGAAAAATAATACGAATCTTTCCACAAACTTTTTGAAGTACCCTCATGTATAGTGAATAGGATGTAACATGTGTTCTAACTAACACCAGCAATAATGACTTGCCTTGCAATAATCAACCTGAACCTTACCATCATCTGTTACTGGTAAAGAAGATGGTCCTTCATTCACTGTGACATTGCACATGTTAAGATTTATTAAACTCTTTAAAGTTGATGGCGTTCTATATTGCTATGCTCCGAAGTGAGGTGGTCCTTGCATAACTTCAGATGGTGGAGTAAATGACACCCTTGATCGTAGCCTCACATTTGCCAAGGAATGAATTAACGTCACCCTTTACACTTTCTTTTTATCTGTCTGCACTGGCGTTGGGGACACTCATGCAATCCCATCCTCCGTTCCACTTACATGAGTCTAGAAACTTTGGCGACGAGAGACCTCTCTGTACACTGCAAACCTTACCCCCCACCCCACCCCAAGTGGAGAAACTGTTGAGCTCTTGCTCAAGCCTTTAGGTGATAAAATAGAGAATTGGTCCAATTTCAAGGCTGGGACGGGGTCCCTTTGGGCCAGTGCCACTCCAGGACGTGTGCTGGTGATGAAGAAAGCAGACTTGGCCGCGGACAGTAGGGCTAACAGTTACCGGCTCTCTCTTCCGTCCTGTTTTTCTCTGTCACATTGGCAAGACAGGCCAGAGGTCGGACAGCAGAGCTGAAGCCAGGGCTTCCAGAGCACATTCTCCAGGGACAGCTGGTTGGGGACCTCTGGCAGGGTCTTGGAGTGGTTGTCTGCGGCTTCCTGCATGACCTGAAGGATGGCATGGAACTGGGACTCAGTTGTTGGAGTTAATGGGTTTCTCTCCCTCGGATCTTTAGAAATATCAAAGAGTAAAGGTGGGTTGTGGTGGGTGATAAAATCCCCAAAACAGAAGCACACGTGCGTGGAAAAGCACCCATTGGCGCCCTCAGGGGTGAACTTCGGCGTGAAGAAGAAAGCTTTCCAGATGGACGTGCCTGCAGTTTACAAGGACAGAAAGGGCGTTAGGTGCAAAGCGTCCTTATATTGATTAGAAACGAGAAAATGACACAGAAACAATGCCGTCCTGTGCTTGAAGAGCTGGAGACTTATCATTCAATACTGGATGACATGTATACAGTCCTCACACCTAAGGCCCCAAAAGATGAGCGCTCCAGGATAAGAAATGATGCATAACTATTTAACAGCCAAAAAACTGTAAAGGAATAAGATGAAATGGATATAGCAATGGCTGCTAGGATGTCAAGTTAGACATATTAAGACCATGGCACTTTCCTTTCATCCAGGAAATCTCTTTCCCCGGTCCCTTTTCCCAGTCCTCAATTTATTAGGCAACACTGCACTGGCAAGAAAGCAGAAAGCCTATCAATTGTTTGAGCACAGAACTCACACAGGACTGTCATTTAAGTTTAATAAACTTTATAGCTTGGAAATGGACAGCAGCCATTCTCTGCAAATGAATATTGACTAGCATATTCTATGCACCTGGCACTACCATCTCTCGCCCTCCAACTTCAACTTTTTAAACGTGCAACCTGTATTTTTGTTGCAAATAACTTGTAGAACCATGGAAGGCACAATGTTAGCATGTGCAAAAGAGATTACAAAGCCACACATGGATGCACTCCCACCGACAGCCACCAGAACAATCGCAGACACGATAGGACCTCACTTTGGGGAATGTCCAAAAATATCAAACCGAAATTTAAACGAGGCTAGGAGCGGGGGTGGGGAGGGGCTGCAAAGGGGTCACAGAGATGATCTTTCTGGAGCTAAGAAAATTCTAAAATTAGATTGTGACTAGGGTTGCACACCTCTGTAAACTCACCCAAAGTCTTCGGATTGGAATTTCAGTGCTTGCAAATGACATCTTAATAAAGCTTTTAAAGATCCCAAATTAGGTGAATGCATTGACATCAGAGTAAGATGGTTAGTTTTTATAATGTATGTTCCACATTTCATTCAATACTAAAATTTCTAGGAAAAACTGATTTACAAACAAACGAATAATTATGCAATGACTGATGTATTCCCTGTTTATTGGACAGTGTTACGACTTTCTGAGGAGGTGACGGAGGACTAAATATGTTTCCTGGGTATGAAAAACAGAGAATTTAAATGCACAAACCGACTAGAATTAGGTGCGGAATGTGAATAACATTTTCCACACAATCCTTATAGCTTTTCACATAAAACGTAAGACATTCCCATTAGGAAGCACGACACACTGACTCAAGTCGCTCTGTTAATTTGCATGAATCATGGCAGTAGAGGCTTCTTTAATTGTAGGTATTTTGTGATCAACTGGCAAAAATACAAAATTAATTAATGGAATCAATTTAATATAGTCACTGGTGTCTGCACTGTTCCCCAATAGCCCCTGACTTCAGACTAACCTATTCATGGGAAAAGTCAGCCTCTGTGTGAGTGAGCGTGTGTGTGTGTTTGTGTTTTTAAGAAGCTGAGAAATATAGTGCAAACAAGGTGAATATGTGATGGATGAATATATTAAGGAGGATTCATAATGAGATGCCTGCCATCAGTGGCGTAGCGGATTCTGGGAGAAGCAGGATATGACATGTGTCTTACTTCACACGAGCTCAGTGCACCTGCCTTTGAAAGATAAGGTCAAGCTGACGTGCAGACGCGCTAGGCTGCAGGAGGAATTTCGGGACTTGGTTAACCATCTCCAGCTGAGTTTCAAAAGGCAGTGAATAACCTTCAGATTCTTTATCGGTTCTTCACATCCCGCTTTCTTCCTGGGTACGAGAGGTTTCCTTTAGAAGCCTTTCAGCAGCGACGTGCTAACAGAGCCCGCCGTCTGCAGCCACTTAGCATCTGTCGCCAGGGTCAGCCGAGAGGAAACCGTTATGGAGACAAGTGAGCCAGGAAGCCCCTCTCATTCCCGCCCCAAACGCTGCAAATCTGGAGGGCGTTTTGAACTTGACATTCCAGTCAAGTGTCGGTGTGTTGAAAACCCCAAGAGAGTGCAGGCTCCTGGAACAGATGCATGAGAGGGGCCTATATTTTTCACTTGCTCTTGAAAGCCGCTCTCTGGGTTTGTGTTACTGCTGCCGTGGCGTGCTGTTTCCCAGACGTGACTGGACTGGACAATCAATATGAGGCCCAGTCAATAGGCCGCAGGCACCACCCAGGAGTGGTGGTGGTGTGGCTCGGTGGTTTGTGCAACTGCAGCATGCAAAATTCATTTTCTGAAGAATTATTTAGGATGCACTAAGATCATTTGCCTTTTTATCTTGTAATCTGAATTTTTTAAAACTTTTTATTAAAAGATTGATAGTTTGGTCTCTCTACTGTTTCTCTGGACCTCTTTGAGTTTGCTCAAACGAGAAAAAGAACCATGTTTCATGGTACATAAGCTCACGAGACACGAAGCCTTCCTTCAGGACATCGTTCTGTTATTTGTTAGGAACCCAGCAATCGAAAGGTGTCATTTCAAAGGTGAAGAGAAAATCCCAGTCATTTGATAACACAGAAGGCACCTGCTGTCACTTTACATTCTTAATAGGTACAGTTAGTCCCGTATTCCAAAATTAGTTTCATAAGTTACAGATTTCTCCACGCACCAGAAAAATGTTGGATTTTTTTAAGAATGTTTTTCCACTATTTTTAAAAATCCTGTGTACTTGTTGATGGAGAGAACTCAAAAGAAAAACAACTGTTTGTTTCTCAGCTCTGTAACAGGAACTTAGACTCACTTATAAAATAACCAAGATCCAACGATGCGGGAAGAAATTTTTAAATTTTATGTATGGAACGCAGAGAAATTAAGGTGGATAGATTTTTTTGTTTTTGTTTTTTAAGTACGAGGGGTCTTCTGAAAGTTCATGGAAAGATTCACATTACCTTTCAATTCAATTTTTCAATGCACTTTTTGAACGACTCATATTCTAAGTGGCGATGAGGACAATAATTCTAAGGCTTAAGAAATGCTCCCGAAAGTTAAGACAGCTGTCACAATTCATGGTGAAAGATGTCAGTGACACAGTATATCTGGAGGACTGCTATGTCACTACAGTAGAGCACAATGCTTTGGAAATTCCCACCCATCTGGGGAAACATATTTTTACGTAAAATCACCACTGAAAAATGTGACTCGATTCACGAGAGAAGAAAGTTCACAGTCGTATGACAAAAAGGCAAACAGAATTTAGGTGAGAAAAGCTTGATGCCTCAGCAGAATGCTAACTCGGCCTTCTACACATAGGATTCGAGGACATCTACTTAACTAACACTAGGATAAGCTACGGGATGAGCTACCCAAAGAGGATTTTGGGATTCCCTGGGGATCTGAGCGGCTTCTGATCCTGGAACAGTTAGAGCTGTTGGGATTTTCATTACTTCAGGGTACGGGAAGTTGGAGTCCTAAGATCGGTTGAAGAGGAACCCCCCAAGTGGGCACACGTGGTCCCCCAAAATGGAGAAAGAGGCTGCCACGCTCATCTGGCAACACCGCTGCTTTCCTGAAAAGAAGGGGGCTGATTCTTCAAACCTGAACTATAGCTATATTCTAAAACTTTAAAAATCAATATTAGTATCCCGTGCACGCTTCCTCTTGAACTTTCGGTGTCACGCTACCCTCTGTTTACAAATTCTACCAACGATCCCCAGAACAGCATCCTCAGAACATCACTTTGTTGTTATCCTGAGTTTCCCAAGTGCTTCTGGCCACCTGTGGCGACACAGGAGTCTCACGTGGCACCAGAACATCATATTTGGCAGCACTTGCAACACAGCACTATGGAGCTCAGGGGATCCAGACCCCAGGACACTCCCCTCCCTTGCCCCTCTGAACCTCCAACCATCTGCCTTGCAGAAGTCTTAGGGCCATCGTGTGAGAGGAAACAAAGTCAGACTCAGAAGGCTCGTCTTGCACAAGCACCGACATCGCACCCCAGGGAAGATCAGAAACATCCCGCGAAGCTACTGCACCAACTTGGCCCATTGCTAGCTCAGGGTGTCTAAAGGAAGGTGCCCCCAACCTAGAACTTGGATGCCATGGAAAGAAGATTGCTCCTCTTTCCTGGAGACAAGGAACCCCTGTGTAATCCACTTGCTCTGGCACATTATCCAGCTTCCTTGCACTGAGGGGAGGCAGCGTGGCCAGTTCTGTCCAAATGTGAGCAGAACGTGATGCGTCTTTTCCAGACCAAAGCACAGAAGAGCCGTCTCTTCTGCTGGCCACGTTCTGGAGGATGGGGCCTCTGTTAGTGTCCCTGAGTGACTTGGGATGGCTGAGCCCCTCCTCCTTGACCCCCACCTCACAAATGTGAGCAGAACGTGATACGTCTTTTCCAGACCAAAGCACAGAAGAGCCGTCTCTTCTGCTGGCCACGTTCTGGAGGATGGGGCCCTCTGTTAGTGTCCCTGAGTGACTTGGGATGGCTGAGCCCCTCCTCCTTGACCCCCACCTCCATACTATTGGCAGGTACTGGATGCCCAGCAGTGGTTTCAACCAGGGGACATTTGGCCACATTGGGAGATAAATTTGGTTGTCACTGCTGGAGTGGGACAGAGGTGCTCCTGGTACCTAGAAGGGAGAGTCCAGGGATGCTGCTAAGCCTCTGAGAGTGCACAGGGCAGCCTCCACAACAGAGAAGGATCTGGCTCCAAATGTCTACAGGAACCGACCATTGTACATAAGGAATAAGAATCAACCTTCACTGGGCTGAGCCCCTGAAATTTCAGGAGAGACAGAGAGAGAGAACACTGGCCAGAGGGTAGGGCTCGGTCCTCCGCTGCCTCGGTTAAGGGGAGTCTGTAAATCTGAGTATCAACAGTTTAGGTCCAAGTCCCAGCTCTGCAATTTCTAGGCACGACCCTGGCTTCTCTGTGTCTCAGTCTGCTCCTCTGTTAAATGAGGATAATAGTTCCTGCCTAGTGGTGTTGCTTAGAGGATTAAAAATCTGTCCCCCTATGCAAAGCTCTCAGAAGAGTGCACACTGTAAGGTCTACATGTGAGTTAACTGGGGACATAAAGCTGCAGGAAATCTAAGCACAAAACACATGGGTTTCCATCTGCTTTTGTTGGGAGATAAATTTGGTTGTCACTGCTGGAGTGGGACAGAGGTGCTCCTGGTACCTAGAAGGGAGAGCCCAGGGATGCTGCTAAGCCTCTGAGAGTGCACAGGGCAGCCTCCACAACAGAGAAGGATCTGGCCCCAAATGTCTACAGGAACCGACCATTGTACAGAAGGAATAAGAATCAACCTTCACTGGGCTGAGCCCCTGAAATTTCAGGAGAGACAGAGAGANAAGGAATAAGAATCAACCTTCACTGGGCTGAGCCCCTGAAATTTCAGGAGAGACAGAGAGAGAGAACACTGGCCAGAGGGTAGGGCTCGGTCCTCCGCTGCCTCGGTTAAGGGGAGTCTGTAAATCTGAGTATCAACAGTTTAGGTCCAAGTCCCAGCTCTGCAATTTCTAGGCACGACCCTGGCTTCTCTGTGTCTCAGTCTGCTCCTCTGTTAAATGAGGATAATAGTTCCTGCCTAGTGGTGTTGCTTAGAGGATTAAAAATCTGTCCCCCTATGCAAAGCTCTCAGAAGAGTGCACACTGTAAGGTCTACATGTGAGTTAACTGGGGACATAAAGCTGCAGGAAATCTAAGCACAAAACACATGGGTTTCCATCTGCTTTTAAATCTGTTGCTACTGTAATCCACGTCTTAAGACATTTTGTTTCCCTGCTAAGGATTCCTAAAGAGTATGGAAAACTAAATTTAAATGCCTTTAACACATTGGCTCTTAATGTATCGCTCAGATTTAGACTTCCCTTGATGAATGCTGTTCAACCGCTAGCCTTGGCAAGACTTGTTTTGCATGCTCGTAGGATTACGTGTGTATATCCTGTAAGCCATACACAGATATTTTGGGCTTCAGTCTTGGCAGTGTTTCTCAATATATTGCCATCTTAAAGCACTTCAAGAAGCACTTTGAATACAGTCTTATTTTTCCATTGTGAAGGACCCACAGCCTAGGGACCGAGGCTTGTCCCTCAGTAAGTTTACAGAAACACTGAAATCATGTACTGAAGAGATGTCAGAAAATCCATCCTGTGGTCCCAGGCCCATGGTGACCTCCTTAGTCCTGCAATACACATAAAGATCATTCAATAGGTTCCTATATCCTCAGCCAGCCACCCACACCAACATCCCAAATCTTTGGCTGAGTCCCAAAGATCTTACAAGTGAGTCCCCACCTGGAGCCACCACAGATCACCTGTGTCTTTTAACTCAGTATGCACAAATGATCCCAAAGCACCGTGGGCACGGGCCCTCTTTCTGACCCCGAGGCTCATTCCCACCTGTTCTCTGAAGCCCAGACCTGTAACTAGTTGGCACTGGGCTGATGCATTGTATAGATCAAGTTCTGCTGCTCCGTGCAGGGGGCTGCAGTGGAACTCACAATACAAAAACAGCGAGAAGGAAGAGAAAGTGGTTCAGGGGCCAAGAGCACCTGCTTCAGAGCTGGGCAGGTTTGAGAGCAATCCCAGGTCCCCCAACTGATGCTTGAGTTTCCTCGGACAAAATACTCCCTCTATGCCTCAGCTTTTGCATATTGGAGGATAGAAATACAGAAACTGTTACAGAAGGGGTGTGTGCGATGTATACTAGACTCCGTCCTTCCCTTCCTTGCCTCTGAATATTGAACTCCTACCCACCCTTCAAAGCCCTGCCACGTTTGCTCCTGCACCAGCCTGTCCCAATTCCCAGCTGGAAGTCACCAGTTTTCCTCTGTGCCTCTCCCCAGTGTTCACCACTCGCCCAGACCTTGAGGTCTCTCACTGTCTGTGGTCTCCACTTCTCTTTCAACAACTGGATCTCCCGCATCGTAGATGGGTGGTACTTAGTGCCTTACGTATGACACACGGCTGATAAACATGTGTTGGGTAAATTTTAAAAATGGAAGAGCTGATGGAGGTTAGCAGGAAGGGACTGAAAGATAGGAAAAAAGCCACCATGTCTCTGACAGGAAGCCTTGGACTTTCAACTTTCTGTCCTCGGGAGCCATCCAGAGCATCCTGCCCAAATCTGCAGGAGCTCCGCACAGCCTCCAGCACGAGGACACACAGGTGTCCGAAGGTGCTGGGGAACGGCATCTGGGAATGGCAGATGTGTGGGGAAGGAAGTCAGAGAGGGGGAAGTACATTTGCAGCCCTGGCATCTCTTGTCCAAAAACGGGCGGTCTTCAGGAATTCACATGGCGAGCATAGTCCCTGTGCCTCCAGAAAGACTGTCCATGAAGAGCCATGAGGGTGGACGTGGGGTCAGCTGAGAGGCTGCAGGTCAGGGACAGAGCCTGGGGAGGGAAGACTGGAGCTGCCAACCCCAACGACGGCCACACTTAGGGGCCGAGAGGCCACAGGCAAATTCCGGGAACAGTCCACGGAGATGCCGAGACACATGGTTACGTGAAGGAACCGTCTTGTCATCATGTGTAAAAGGATGTATCATCTTAGGTGAAGATGTTCCAGTTAATGGGGGACAGACTGAAAGCAGATGCTGTTGGTTGCGAATCCCAGCTTTGCCTTCTACTCTGTCACTGCATGTCAATGACGTGACTTTCGACACTGCTGTCTCCCCGTCTATCAATGGGAGAAATGACTCTGGGAGAGACTGCCCGCTGGTCTCCTGGTCTTCCAGAGTCTTCGAGCGTTCACCTGGGTGCATGGACACCCATGAAAAAGGCTCCACTTCTCAGCCTCCCTGGAAGCTAGTTGTGCACAGGGGACCAGCTTCTGGACTTTGGGATTTAACTGAGAGAGTTCAGATATCCTCCTTGGGAAGATATGCCCTGTCTCCTCGTCATCTCTACCCAACCCACCTGCATGGTGCTCTTAGGGTGGATGCCAGCATCATTTCATCACAAAGGTGAAGCTGCCACCTTGCACAGGTGTGGAGAGAGAGTTTGGAGGATTCCGCATCCCGGAGACTTTGTGGACCATCCAGCTCCAGACGTCACTCAGTCACTCAGGAGATGGGGATACAAACTTCTCTCTCAGGTTGGCTACTGTTCCTTTTTAGTTGTCTGCTACTTGCAGCCAAATCTGATGCTTTTAATTAGGAGGATGAAATGCGACGTAGAAGGAAACACTTAGCAGAGTATCTGGACGGCGGGAAGGATGCCAGAAATGCAAGGGATTGTTATCATCAAATGTCTCCAGAAAATAGAGAAGGGTCACATCGAAAATATGACACATGTCAAGTATAAGAGTTCAACAGAGGGAAAAGTCTACAACCACCTAGGAAACACTTTTGTTCAGAAGATACAAAGGAAAGGAGAAGACAAATAATTGTTGATCCTTACACGCCTCGGTTAGAACTAAACGTCTCTGTAGAAAATGCTAGGTCTGGCAGCTGAAGAAAGTAGATCAGGAGCAAGGGAGAGACATGCCATAAGATGAGGGAAAACCATGACACCGCCACACTGAAGCCAAAGCACAGAGACGTGCAGAATGCTGCAGAAAATCAATGAAATGGCAGGACTGAGACCATAAGAAGAAAAGATCAGAAATGGCCTGTGGTCAAGAGCGTGGAATAAGCTGGTTGCTGACCTAAGATTGAAGAATGTGAAAAACACATTTTTTAAAAATTAAAAAAATGCGTTTGGTATTCAAGAAAGATAATTCAATTTTGGTTTATTTTGTCTTTATAAGGAAGTGAGTTTGCATTGTGGCAAATTGACAAGAGTAACTTATATTCACCCATGGTATTAATCTCATCTTAGATCAGACATATGAAAAGTTAGTCGAAAAGTGCATGTCTATCTCAAACACTGTCTAAGACTGTCCGTAATGCAATATGAAGTTCCGTATGAAAAAAATATGTTTAATAGACTACATTGGAGGAAACAAAATCTATTTATGAGTTGTTTTTGTTTTGTTTTGTTTTTCCCATTAAAGGAAATGAATAGTCGGGGAAGTTAAGCCTGTCCCGGATGAGTCTGCAGGTGGTTATGATATAAAATAAATTAAGTAGAGATTTTGCAAATTCAGGAAAACCTTCCCCAGTCTCCTAAATCATTCCTCCTGCTGGCCAACGCATGTCCACCTCAAAACACCACCCTCCCACGCTGCTGCAGTGACGCATACACACGCTTCACCTCACTACTGGGATCTGCAGGTGTGCAAAAGAATTAATGGATGAAAGCCTGAAAGGTCAAAAGCTTGTGGGATGCTGCATTGGGTTGAGGTATTAAAAAAAGAAATCCTAAGACTTAAAATATGTCCTTGAAATGGTTTGCATATATATGCTTTTCTTAATTGCCAAAGTGATGGTAGGGTGAGATTATGTCCTTGGTAAGGTAAGCTGAAGTGTGGGAAAGTACCCGGTGAACTTAAATTTGCAAATGCTGCATCCCACAGGAGTTCAGCTTCAGCCTCGATATTTTATTTCTGACCTTTTAGGTCCTATTTCTGGTGATCGGAGGAAGAAGGACATCCAACAAGTTCCCACCAAAATTTTTAATGATGAAAACTAGGTACAGACTTTCTTATGCTGGTTAACTCATGAGACATGGCAGCTGTTATTAGAATCTTCTCTTTGGTGAAATTAATTCTTTAATTGAATAAAAAATTTTAAATCGTAAACAACGTATTTTTCCTTTCTTGCCACAGTAATGTTTTTATTTTAAACCACTACATATCTTCTATTTTGAAAAGAAGGAAATTTTTTGAGGGTCGGAGATGAACACATTACTTTAGAAGGAATTCTATTATCTCATGGCTTTTTGTTGCTATTTTTTAATGAAGATTTTTTTTTTTAATCTAGGAAAAAAAGTTGCCAACCAATGAATTGAAAACACAGCTGGATTTATGAGGCCCTGCTGGGTCAGCGTGAGTCTCCGCCAGAGCCCGTTGCTCTGAACTAATTTTTGTAGCTTCCTGGAGAGTGTGATTCCTCACAAAAGCATAACATTTCTAATACAGTAGTTCCCCCTCCTCCACAGTTTTGCTTTCCACGGATTCAGTTACCCACAGTCCGAAAATATTAAATGGAAAATTCCAGAAAAAAACAATTCGTAAGTGTTAAATGTTAGGTCACAATGCCCACATCACTCATGTCACGTCCTCTCATCAGGTAGGTAATTTTACCATCTCACATCATCACAAGAAGGAAGCCTACAGTACAA